TATGCCCCCCCATGCCCTTCCAGGGTACGTGCAGAGCCTCACCCCTGAACAAGCTGCTCATGGCTCTGTTCCTTGCTCTACCCCAGCTGTGTAGCACCTGCCCCTACCCCAGCCCCACTCCCTCCCTCCCCTCTATCTGTGTGTGTGTGTGTGTGTGTGTGTGTGTGTGTGTCCCCTGCCCTCCAACAGATTTACCAGCTGGATGCCACTTTCCATGCTGGCTGGTTGCATATCGGATTGGTATCAGCTTGTATGGCTCGTCAAAAATTGGCCACTGGTATCTGCCCAAAAATTCTCTGGCTGTATGCTCGATGCTAGAGGTTTGTTCAGAGAAGTATCCTACTACAGAATCTGAAATCCTCATTTAAATCTGAGGTTTGGATTGGACTCTGTGTCTGATAGATTATTATATTTTTCTTGCACACTGCATGTCTTGTTTTGGATAGGCAGAATGTAGAAAAAAAATATTTTGATTCTGAGTCCTAGCTAACTGTGCAGCAGCTCACTTCCTTCTCTAGGAAAACTTAAAAGGTTAGGGGCCTGGGACTTATGACTTATGAGGAGAGGCTAAGGAAACTGGGTTTATTTAGTCTAGAGAAGAGGAAACTGAGGGGGGATTTAATAATGGCCTTCAGTTCAACTACCTGAAGGGTGTTCCTAAAAGGATGGAGTTAAACTGTTACGGTGGTGGTAGGTGACAGAAGGAGCTATGGTCTCAAGTTGCAACAAGGGTATTAAGTTGGGTATTAGGAAAAACTTTCTCACTAAGAGGGTAAAGACACTGGAACAGATTACCCAGAGAGGTGGTGGACTCTCCAGCCTTAGAAGTTTTTGAGACCCAACTAGACAGACTTGATTGTAGGGGTACACATTGGTCCCATATCGTATTGTCACCAGTACAAAGAAAATTGACATAATTGGCTTTTTTTCGCTGATGTGGCTGATAATGATGTCAATAAATGCCCCGTGCACGCATTCAGCTGCAGTGTGGCATGCAGGCGACCAGGAGCGCAGCCCCGGCAGTGTGGAAAGCAGCATGTGGCTGGTAAGTCTATTGTTGGGGGAGGTAAAGGGGGGCAGAGAGGCCTGTGGGGTTAGGGGCAGGCCATGCAAGCCAGGGCGGGGTACAGGATGGAACCGCACCTTGTTGGGGGGGCAGCTTCTGCTGCTATGCACATCCTGGGAGGGTATGGGGGGGTGTGTCCTTGGGTCTGTGCCTGGAAAGAGCCCGGTATCTCCCCTGGCACACTGTTGGCAGACCACCCTCGCCTATACACAGATCTGGGGGCACATGCACCCTTGCATGCCCTCCCTCAGTGCGCGTAGCAGTGGAAGCTGCTCCCTGTGCCCCCCAAGACGAGCTGTGGCTCTGTCCTGTCCCCCACCCCAGCTGGGCAGCTCCTGCCCCTGTCCCAGCCCCAGTCCCACT